CGCTCTCTCTGTGTGTGTGTGTGTGTGTGTGTGTGTGTGTGTGTGTGTGTGTGTGTGTGTATACAGGATGTCTTAGAGAAGACTGATCCTGTATCTGGACACCAAAACCAGGTCAATGGCTTGAAGCCTTGAAAAGATATCTAAGGGAATTTATATAAACAGTTGTACTGGGGCGTTGGTGGCGCACGCCTTTAATCCCAGCACTTGGGAGGCAGGGCAGATGGATCTCTGAGTTCGAGGCCAGCCTGGTCTACAAAGCAAATTCCAGGACAGCCAGAGCTACATAGAGAAACCCTGTCTTCAAAAAGGAAAAAGACAATTGTGATATTCAGTGTCCCTCCATCCCCCTCCAGTTCCCTCCTCCCTGACTCTAACTGAAATGGAGGTCCTCTGCACAGTAGATGAAGAACTGCAAGTAAGCCAGGCTGACTGGGGCTGCTGCCGACTTGAAGATCTTGACTTGGGTGCCAGTCTCATAGGGCAGCTTTTGATCTACCTGGAGGCACCAGAGAATTGGACAGGGTCAGGGTCAGAGGCACAGTCATGTTGACCCACTTTGATTTTTCCCAATTTCCCACTTGATGCAGGGAGAGTGAACAACCCCTTAATGACACACTGAACAAAGGCAGTATAGACTAATGACCACTTGGAAGGCTCAGAGGTACCCAAAGAAGAGGTACCCAAGGAAAGAGCAAGTTAAGAAATATTCCTGGGGATTGGGAGGGGAGCCTCACCAGTGCCATATCTCCCACACCGAGGGCACAGATGGTGACTTTCAGGTAGCCTCTCACCCCACTGTTGGTCTTATTTTTCTGGCAGAGGCCTAACCATTTCCTTAGGAGTGTGTGACCTGGGGAGGCAGAGTCAAAGTTGGAGACCCTCCAGTCTCCATCTCTCTCTCCTGAAAACAGCCTTTGTTTCCAGGGAAAATGGGGCAGGTAATGTCTCATATTCTGGCTCTCATCTAACAGTAGAAAAGAACCGAAGTCCCCTCTACCACTAAGCAATGATGGTACAAGCCTGCCAACTAGTGCAAGCAGCTCTCTGCCCTTAGATCCAATCTCAACTTGGTATCTATATTATGGCTGACTCGTGGTAAAATTCCCCACTTCAATCTCAATCTCTTGTAGAATAGTGGTGACAAGAGCTGGGATGAGTAGGATGAAGGAGAAAGAGAGAGGATGGTTAGTGGGTACAGATGCAACTGGATAGGAAGGAATAGGATCTCTATAGCAAGGTAATGATGATGGACAATAATTGTCTATTTCAAAATGATAGAAAGGTTATTAAACATTCTCAATGCAAAGAAATGACAGCAAGTGGGAGGAGGCCAGCTTGGCTATATAAGATCTTGTCTCAAAAAAACCCAAAAAAACAAAAAAACAAAAAAAAAACAAAAAACAAATGCCAGTGAAGGCAGACACCAAGGACTGGCCAAGATACTGAGAGTGATGTTGAGAGTTCAGCCTTAAAAAAGATATTCTACCCTTCTGATGTTCCTTCTAAAGGTCAAGAGACATTGTGGGAGAGGCCGGAAGATAGGGAGATGGGCTGAGAACCACCACCCACTAGGCACAACACAACCGTTATGATCATGAACTCACAGCAGCTGTGGTTACCTGCTCTGAGCCTGTGCAAGGCGGCCCCATTAACCATCAGTCACAGATCGAGGAGGGGTTCATGGGTTCCTATCCTTGCTACTAAACTATTGGCTGTTGATAAACTTTGAGAGATGGGGAACCACTGTCTTTAGCTGTGCACATACCACTGAGCCCACCAAGCTCCAATGGATAGCTCTAAACCCATGGTCACACAGATGACTCTGGTTAAATTCACTGGATCACAAAACTGTGTGTGTGTGTGTGTGGTGTGTGTGTGTGTGTGTGTGTGTGTGTGTACGTGTGCATATATATATATATATATATATATATATATATATATATATATATATATAAAAAAAAGAGTGTTGGGTAAGAGAATAACAAGCATTACATGTGTATGTGAAGAGGTCAAAGAACACATTTAGTCAATTTATATATACATTTAAGTTATATATATACATATATATAAATTAAAGTAAGTATGCATTTAAAAAGCATGATATGAGGTATATGCCTGTGATCCAAGAGGCAGAGGCTAGTTCGTGAGTTCTAGGCTAGCCTGGACTTCATAATAAGAGCCAGCCTCAAGAAAAACAACACAAGTTTGAAAAATAACAAAGCTGTGGTCTTCTGGTCCTGGCTTTACACATTAGAAATACACGTTAGAGTTTCAATAACAATTTAGCATTTTACCACCCCCCTGCAATGTCTTAAACTTTTCAGAGAAAGATGGTATTAGTATACATTATGATAAAATATACCATAAAGTAGAGTAAACATTTTCAAGCATGGAAAGTAACTCATATTCTGTGATATCTTCTCTCCATTTGCTGGGGATTCTGAGGGATTTGGACTCCTGGTCTACTTTGTCTCAGAAGGCACATGCGCTTGCACTCACACACACTTACCTGGGGCATGGTAGATAAACCCAATGTCAGTCTGAAAAGATAAATAACTGTCACTTACCTGGGGCATGGTAGATAAACCCAATGTCAGTCTGAAAAGATAAGAGTAAGTTGAAGATTAGCTATAGGTTGGTTTTTGTTTTTATTTTCAGACAGGTTTTCACTATGTAGCTCTGGCTGTCCTGGAACTCACTATGTAGACCAGGCTGGCTTTGAACTCACAAGAGATCCATCTGCTTGCCTCTGCTGGGATTAAAGGCATCCACTACTATGCCCAATAAGCTTGGATCTTAAATGTCCTCCAAAGTACCAGGCCTTAAAAGCTCAGTCCGCAACCTGTTCCTGTGTGGAAGGGGTGGAGCCTTTAGGAGTTGGAGCATAGTGGGAGGATTTTAGGTCACTGGTCAGCATTCTTTTGAAGAAGATTTGGGCAACCCATCCTCTCCCTTTTATATTTCTTCCTATTTCAGCCATATCCTTTTTATATAATGTGCCACCACAGGCCCAAAGCAACAGGACTAACGTTTACAATCCCGAGCCAAAGTAAACCCTCCTCATTATATGTTGATTATCACAGGCATTTGTTTTAGTGAGGGAAAGTTGTGTAGCACAAGCCAACACCAAGATTTGCAATTCCAACTAACCCAGTGGCATACTAGACCGGTGCTTGAGTGTGGGGCTTAATCTCAACTCTGTCTTCAGAAAAAAAACAAAAAAACAAAAAAACAAACAACAACAACAAAAAAAAACTGGCAGTACCACTGTCCTTTCTATAGAGAAGGCTCCTGAGTTTGAAAGATGTCTCAAAGGCTTAACAGTTGCTAAGCAAGAATGCTAGAAACTTCAAGAATTTCCCCTCAACTCTCCCTTGTCCCTGGGTAGGGAAGGGCATCTCCATGCTAGGGAATGAGGATGATCAAGTGGTAGCTGGCAGAGACTACGTGGCTTTCCTTCCTCCTAGGAGATGGCATCAGACTGGGGCCTGAGGAGCATGCTACAGGACAAGAGGCAGTGTAAATAGTGCCGTGCCAAGGTTCCACCGATCATTAACAAGATTCTATACATAGGCCTGTTTTCAAACTCACTCCCCCTCTTGGATTAGGTCGGCAAAACTTCTTAGACAAAAAAGAAGAAAGGAAGAAGGGAGAGGAGAAGAAAAAGAAGGAGGAGGAGGAGGCAGTAGCAGCTGGGCTAGGGCACTTTGCCAGCTTACACAAGGCCACACGTTTAATTCCTAGCAACACACACTGTACAACCTATACAAAACTGGACTTCACTGATATGGTTTTCTTCCTCTTCTATCCCTTGTGTGGGGGATTGAACCAGGGCACAGTGCATGCTAAGTAAGTCCTTTATTCTGAGCTACATCCCCCTCCCTAGACTTCATCAAAACAGAAGTTTCTGCTTTTTTACTATGGAGACACCTTTTAGCTGTAAAAATAGAAGTATTGGACTGGCAAGATGGCTCAACATGTAAAAGTGCTTGCTGTGTAATCCTGGAATCCTGAGTTCAATCCCCAGGCCCCACGGTAGAAGGAACCGACTTCTAAACGTTGTCCTCCTCTCTCCTCTACATAGGCACCATGACTTGTGCACATGGGTGCCCACGTGTATACACACACACACACACACACACACACACACACACACACACACACACGATAAATGACATAAAAATAAAAAATCTGGGCATTTGGGAGATGGCTCAGTTGGTAAAATACTAAACAAACACAAATACCCAAGTTCAATCCTTAGTACCTACATAAAATCTAGGCATGATACTGACCTCCACAAACATACATGCAAGTACACCCACACATAGATGTGCACAAACACATGCACACAAAATAAAAATAAATAAAACTGGGGGCTGGAGAAATGGCTCAGTGGTTAAGAGCATTGACTGCTCTTCCAGAGGACCTGGGTTCCATTCCCAGGACCCACATGGTAGTTCACAACTGTCTGTAATTCCAGTTCCAGGGGACCCCAACACCCATGGCAAAACACCAATGTACATAAAATAAAAATAAATACATTTTAAAATAAATATGTAAATAGAACTCATCATGTTTAAAAATAAAATTATTCAAATTAAATAAAAATACAAATTAAATAAGTTGGGCATGGTGGCTCATGTTCTGTCATTGCAGCACCAGGGAAACTGAGGCAGGAGTCTTGCCATGAGTTTGAGGCCAGCCTGAACCATATAGTGAGTTCTTGGCCACTTCTTCACTAGAACATCTTTCCCCCACCCATCCTCAAAGGCAGCAATCTCTTTCTACAGTTCTTCAACATCTAGGGTGATCTTTTTGGGTCCACAAATAGAAGCCGAGATTTGGCCAGTGTCCATAGTACCATGGAACTGAGTAACTCAGCATGAAGCACAATCCTTATCTAAACATGACATACTTTAACCCTCACAGTGCTCGTGTAGATTGTGTACACTACTATTACAGTTATTACTGTTGTTGTTATTTTTAGCAGCCCACAGCTGAGGAAGCAGAGGCTAAGAGTAACCTGTCTGAGCACTCCTCCCAAACCCCCCCCCACAC